GGTGTTTGGGTGAATTCGACAGACAACCTTAAAATCCTTGTTTGGGTCGGTTGAATGGTTGGAATCGATTAAATGCTCAAGCATAGAACATCTCACGTTTCCTCAGTGTTCAGCTTCTAAAAACAGCAGAGACCTTGGATACCCATGAACTGACGTCTGTCTGACCTTTGTATGCAAAAGAAGTATGTACAGTTTTTGTCTCTACCTTGGCCTTAATTTGTTTTAGTCTCTTCCCTTCCCTTTTTTCATTTTTTAACCCCCCTTTTTTGTCAGATTAGTATTTGTGCTCTTATATCCTCATTATCACTTTATTTTTATATTTAATTGTATCCGGGGTGTTATTTCATTTGATCTTCCTAATAATCACAACTTTTAACAAAATATTTTCAGTTCACTCCAATTAACTTGTCTTACTCATATTACCTAATCCTTTAATTGTTTATCAATCTTCTCATTCCTTTTCAATCCATATGCACCTTATAAACAATTTAAAAACCTTACGCAACCCTTTTTGTGATAATTCGACCTTTACTTCATCAACTAGTGACATTATAATTATAACCACCATTATTTTTTATAGTAATGATGGGCAGTGGCTAGCAGTGGAATTCAGGATGCGCATTTCGTCTTATTTGGGACTCGTTAGCTCGATGTACCTGTCTCCCAGTGAGTAGTGTTGTTCCCATCATTATTATTGCTTCAATCCCCCATTATTTAAGTTAAATTTTCCTCACGGATTACAGTATTTACATATCATATACACACATGTACAACTTGAGAATAAATTGGTTGAAAAGAGTCCTCTTCGCTGAATATCTTGTTTTTCATTTATGCATTTGTTTTTTATTTATCATATTAGCGCGTCAACAAACTTCTGATTTTATAATCTGGTTGTGGTATATTTAACTTCTGTTGAAATTTCTGTATATCAAAATCTATTCACTAAAAGGACACCCCGGATAGCCTGATGAATATACCCAACAAATGGACGCATTTCACGTCTTCGTTATGGTTAATTTTTAAATACTGATACCTGATTCATGCATGACAACTAACTAACACTATTTTCCAACTCCAAATCAAAGAAAAACAGTCTTAATATCATGGCAACGGGTGTTTTATTGCTTCCCGCTTTCAATAAACTAACTGCAGTGGTAACCGCAGCCTAAGATGAGAATAATTCACTTTACAGTTAGTATTCAAATCCAATAAACTATGAAAACGGAAGTGGTTTATTATGACTATTTTTGTATTCGTTTTACTGTTTTCTCAAAGTTCATACGTATTTTGCATAATAAATCATCGATTCTCGGGTAGCTGACAAACAGGAGTTCAGCTGTGTTCAACAGACATGTGCGTAACGTGTATGATGTTGGTAACTCAAGTATGCGTAGTGTCTGTGCTTCACATACAAGCTTATAATGTAATGTGGCCTGCATACATGGTAATCCTAGGTAGAAATAAAAGATCTTCACTAAAATAGTACTGAGTTACTATGTGAAAAGAATTGAGAATTTATTCTTCGGAAATAAATTTCATTAATTCTGAAAAACTACTACTTGTTTGCACGGGATGAGAATACATTTTTAGCTCTGGTGGTATGTCAGTTTCGTGCTGCTGTCTGGCGAATCATTTCCTACCTCTCTTCAGTACATTCAGTAATTTAGGCATTTGCGCAGACCGGCACTGATAAATTAGTTTTTTTATTCAGTAACTACCATATTAGTTACACAGCGACCTAATTCAACTAAAAACACAAGTTATTTGACGAAACAACCTTCCTGCATTAATCTGAAACCAGTATGAAGACCTACTGCACTCCACTCAACAGTAAGAACAAGATCCGGATTTTCAACACCAACGTCAAGTCAGTGCTTTTATGTGATGCTTCAGAAAGTTGGTAAGTCACGAAAAGCATTTCCAACAGACTATATACACACATCAACAGCTTCCTACGATCAATACTGAAGATCAGATGGCCAGAAAGAATAAGCAACAACAAACTCTATCCTGGCAACGAAACAACCGAGAACCCATCGCCCAACAAATATGCAGAAGAAAGTGGAGATTGGTTGGGTTGAATTGAACATACACTTAGAAGGCTATTCGGGGACATCACACTCAGGCCAAGCCCCCAAGTGGAACCCAAAGGGTAAACGACGAGTTAGGCATCCATTGGTGACATATAGGAGATCGTGTTAGAAAGAAATGAAAGCTTCTGGGTAGTGGTGGAGCCAGGTTGAAAAGACTGCAGAGAACGGAGCGGAATGGCGACGTGGCACTGAAGCCTATGTTCCACCAGGAACCCAAAGGACGAATAATAAATAGTGAAAATAATAATATTGTCACGGACGCCTTCCATCCTTTTACGCATTCCGGTCTTGTTGAATGCTAACTAATTTTGACTTAATAAAAAACTAATCAGCAATTATGTGAAGCCACTCATACAAAGACGAAATTTAAAACATAATCTTTTGAATCTAGGTCCTAGCATGAAGCTGATAACATAATTTATCCTTTAAAAGCATAAATGTAAATAACCAGTCAAAATCTTTAACTTCTTAAGCGACCGGAAAGTAGCAATGTTATTTTGCAAATCCTATGCATACAAGTTCAAATAAACTCAGACTAACTTCGAAAGTTGTTAAGCACAATTTTGATACAAAAGTTAATATTTTGTTTACATAAACTTTCATTCATTCTGGTGACAAGTGTTTGTATTGACCTTAAATAAGGTCATTTCATTGCGGGATACAAATTTGATAACAAAAGTTAGTTTACAACTTGTATCGTAAAGCAGTTTATTTTCTTCCGTCCATCGTCCTAACAAGGATACTTTTCATAAAACATAGATTTCACATTTCAAGCTTTAGACTTTATTTTCTAGATGCGATGTAAAATCCATCTTTATTTCAAAAAGGAATACCCCTTCCAGTTTAACTGACTAATTATATTTCATCATAAAACTGACACAGTATCACAATAAAAAAAATAGTCAATTGTGGTGGAATACAAAGTCGTATTAGACTCTTTCGTTTGACAAAGCACACGGGGATACAGTGTTACTTATTGTGTTTAATAATATTATCATTTGACCCTCTGAGATAGTCGTAGTTTGGCAGACTAATATCTATAATGGATGATAACTGAAAGTGAAATGAAATTTTGGATTGCTGTTGAGTTCGAACTAGTGATCACCAGGTTACTGGCTCCATGTTCAACCGACTGAGCTACGAGGTTCAACTGCTGACCACATTTTTTTTTATTTCACTTCGCTCACCAAGGATTATACCCGACTATCACGTGCATTCGTTACGCGTTACTACCGTTTGATCGTATTCACACTAGCTGCCTATTCAGGACTTCTCATATTGATCATCATTTTGACTATGTGAGTGAGATAGCCGTAGTTTGGCAGACTAGTATTTATACTGGGTGATGATTGAAGGTGAAATGAAATAAAAATATTGTTTTATAGTTTACTACACTGAATCAAAAAATCTAATTCGGAATCATAAATACTATTCAAAACAACGGAAACTATATTTTATCGTTACAAGTGAGAGTAATGAGTGTTTAAATTTTCATTAGGCAAAACCAAAAAAGCCCAGTTTTCAATATAGTTTTGTGCACTGTTTCCTTCCTTAATCTCAAACAACATTGATTTATTTATTGACGATGGATTGTGGCTAACAGTAGAATCCAGGACAAGCGTTTTATTTTATTTGAAACTTTTCAGCTGGATGTACCTGCCATCATTATTGTATAATTAAAAACTCAAACAATATCAAGGCACTCACGCAGGAGCCCATATGACAATTCGATGCAACCAATGACAGTATAATACAAGCAACAACACTGACTTATTTAGTTTCACTGTGACTTAAAAAGGTAAAACTCATGAGATTTTTCTTTCTATTTGATAAACTGATGAATTATGTGTGATAAATCACTAACCAACATAGGATCTACAAATAGCGGCATAATCTCCCAAGCATATCATCTACTTCATTAATAATTCTACACTTTTCAAAAAAGTAGAAAAATCTTGAGGTTTTTAGGTTACATAGTGAAATAATGCAGTGGACTGTACAACAATTAAAACAGTCTATCAAATGATATTCATATAACTTCATGCAAAAACTTTCAGACCAATATTTCAATGATCCACTGAAATTGCTATGACCTCAGTGAATGAGAGTACTGAATAATTTTTTGGGTAAAGATGGGATAAATCTTTGAGAAAAGGTGTACGAAAAATAGTCAAATGAAATAGAAACATTTTCTAAATTTGTAAAAAAAATGTCATCCTTATACTGTTATCATCTTAGGATATAGTAAAGGAAATATTCTTAAGGCGTTACTACCAAACTTCTAGGACTTGTGAGTTGTAAGAAATCATGATTTACAGTCACCTATCTATAGACAGGTAAATCAACGTAATAACACAGTTTTATCATTTCTTTACGCAGTTAAAAAGAATTTTCTTTAGGATAAAATACGCATACATTTGTTCAGGTAAACTTCTGTAGGATAACCATACTTTACGCTTACTTTTCATCAGTAATAGATCATAGCAGAATATGAAATTGTTTACCGTTTAAAGGTCTTTTTTAAAGACTCTTGGGTGCTGATATTCTTCAAATCAAAAGAAATGTTTACCTTTATTATAATCTTATACTCCACTGAAGTTACATCTGATTGGATAATTAAATTATACTTTTTTCTTGACACACATATCGAATAAGTTTTCATTAATTTACGCGTAAAATATTCATTGATTGAAAGAGCTTATTCAATTTGGGTTACATAATAATGTAACGATTATCCTAGTACATTTTGATGGTCAAATACTTCTGCAGCACACTTACATACGTAATCTTCACATGACGTTCTCATATTTCTTAGCATAAATGTTTCCTACAGATTATGGTTTTGAGGATAACTTTCATAATTAATGGAGCAAGATAAAGAGTCTAAGCAACTGATTTATAACTTACCAACTGATGTGAGGAGTTTTTTTCTCTTGATGATTCCCAAAGTATTTGCCGCTGTTTTGCAGCCGATATCAAGCCTTGTTCTGCAGCCCACCGAATAGGTCTTGAATAATCAGGATATGATAGTTGGGAGTTATTATTATTTATCCCACCAATGAGATATAAGGGTTGAAAACTGCCTTTACAATTATCTAATCCAGTATATAGTACACCGTTGTTTACTTTGTTGTTTGTGTAACTATCACAAATAAGGTTTGAATTTGTTTGTAGATTTCTTTGTGTACCGATGTGATGATAAATCTCAGTGTTTGGAGAGTTATAGACTGCAGGATAATAAGGTCTTTGTAGAATGTGCTGACCAGGTGATGTCGGATTTAAAGTACGCAATGGCTTATAATCCGCTTGAACACGTGGGATAAGTGGTGTGTTTCTTGCACTAGTTTTCTTAGATAATGAATTTCGACATAAAGATTCGTCAAATCGATTAACTTCAGTGTTACTAATTTGTGAATGCTGTACAGTATGACAGTCAGCTCTTAACTGATCGTTCAATAATTTAAATCCTAGTGTTGTATAATTTTGAGGAGAATTTTGTAATGAACCTTCAAGGCGAAAAATATGCTGTCTTGAATTTTGGTGTCTGGGCTTGTCGTTGACAGGTGAGTTATATAACTGAGATGATTGACTGAACTGGTCATCACTGCCAGAGGATCTGTTATTTAAGAAGAAGAAGCAATGAAAAAGACTACTAATTGTTTCATTTAAGTGTACATAGAATTCTATTTGAATAGAATAAAGTCCACGAACAACTATATCAAAGCAAGTGAAGGGTTTTAAGGATAATGAAATTCATGCTTTTGTATATATGAAGTTAACTTCATGAGATACAAACATTGTGTCAACCAGGGAATAAATGTTCCACAAGTAATTATTAAATTTCAAGGAAGGACTGTTTATGTGTTTAAGGAGCTTCATAGTGAGGTAACAGGAGTGTTTAACAAATCATAATATATTCTATCTTTAGACTAGTGATGAAATCAGTAGCACAGATATAATAAATAGACATTTGAAGAAATGATTAAATGAATAGTATTATATTTGTTTTCTAAGACCGGCTTCAAATTTCATTGTGAATGGCAACATCTTTCTTCATCTTATTTTAGCTACTTCAAAGGAAACTGGACTAACTAAGATACGTATTCAAAAGAAATATGTTGCATGAATACATATCTATTTTTTTTGTTAATTTTATTCGCATTTTTTTTACTTCTGCAATTCAGAGTTTAGATAGGGTGACAAAAGAGAAATTTGCGTTAGGATCAAGGTTATATTAAAAGAGTTAACTGACTGTTGCCTTGCACACTGTTGACAAAATAGACATCATAACATGGTGAAAAATATTCCTTTAAAATTGAGTATTTTACACAGTGAGCTACAAGTATAAAGAATGTTTACATGCGACATAGTTAAGAGCTGTTTGGGATTTCTAGACGACTTTAGTGTTTGACCAAATCACATACGCTACAGTATACAGCTATATTAAGAACAACTTGATGACCACTTGCTTTGTTATGACTGGATAAACTACCATTGCTTTCGAACTCATGTTAAAGTGAAATTAATAAACCTACACCACTTAAAAGAAATTAGTTTTCACTTTTTAGGCATCTGAAGGAATTCCATGTAACGTTTGTAGGTGATTACTTGAGGGAAGCAAACTTCGAGAAAGCATACATTTGTAGGATATTTTTCGAGGACTTCAAATATTGACCTTCGTGAACGAAAAGAAAAAAATTGTGTTATATTTCGATTAAAACTCATTTAAAGTTGCCTCTTGAATCAAATAACACATACAAAATGAAAACCTACTAGGTGGTCCTTACTCAAATAAAAGTTGAATATATGTATGAATGTTATTCCACCAGCATCGTATGAAACAGTCGAGCATGAAAGTTAATGAAGACGGCAACCACCAAAAAGCGATAACAGTGATACCTTCATTCTATACATCAGTTCACCTGTTACTGTGAAATTAGGTATATAGGTCACTGATCGCTGATACTGTTCAAACAGGTTCAATGATCAGAACCCTCTGTGATCACAAAGAGGTAACAGCGGATCTATAAGAAGTGCGATAATAGAACACCTTATCGATACTGCTCATTTAATCCTAACAACCACCTCTTTAAAATTATTTACAGAGTGAAAAGAAACTCGTCAAAGTCAGTACTTATTAACCTTCTTTTATTACCAAGGCTTTAGAACTTCAGATTGGAAAGACAAAACGTTAAACCCAAAGGAAACATGCCCAACCTTTGTTCTTTTCATGGTCTTAATCTTTAGCGTTTCAAAACTTACCCTCTCCCTTCCTAAATGTTTCATCACATTCATTTCTTACACATTGTCAACTTGCTTAAATACTCATATTCGTAATAGTCCATTCACTAAATGCTTTCTAATTTTACTCAACTCGTTATTCAGATGATCAAACTCAACCCAAGTGGTCAGTGATTTGAATCCTGCTGCTTCCCAGACTTTCATTTCACTTTCAGTCATCACCTATTATTATTATTATTATTCATCTTTATTACTGTGATATCCTGAATAAAGCTCACTAATCTTAGCAACTTCGCATTTTTAAGTCATGACAATTCAACTTTGTTTGCGATTGTACAACTTAGTGAATAAAATCACTGATAAAGAGTCTCTTCTCTGAACTACTTGTATTTATTCCCTTTAGTTTGCATATAGAAAGCAGTTAGCAACAATTAGTCTGTAACCAAATACTTCATGTGTCGTTATGGTAATCAATAATCCAGTATTTTTTTTATTTTGATGAGAGTTTGAAGAAACAATTAAAATCACCATTGCTTTAGTAAATCTTAGAAAATATATTAATGATAACTCGAGTCCTTCTTTGGACAGCAAATGACATTTTACCTACTCAGTATTAGCACACCTTCAATTGACGTTGTAAACGTTTGTCCGGTTTAAGTAACTTCTGACAAAATCAAGCGTAATCATAAAAGATTTTTTTATTTAACGAAAAATAACAAATGCAAAAACCTTTGTTGTCAGATAGTAACGCACTGTAAAACGGTATGTTCAGTCCTGAAAAGAATTTGATAGTTCAAATTCATATTAGCTTAATAATAATTGATGCTAAACAAATCCTACTTAGTCGAAGCAACACAAAACATGCTTGCTAAAAAGGTGTTTTGTCTAGGGATCGGATCTTATCTGGATCTTAACATTCATACCTCCCTATAACATCTTATACTTTAAACTGGGTGATGGTTGAAGGTGAAATTAAAATTTGAACCGCGGCCGGATTCGAACCAGCGACCACAGGGTTTCCAGCCCGAATCGAATCCAGCCGCGGTCCAAATTTCAATTTCACATTTAACCATCCAGTATAAATAATAGTCTGTCAAACTACAGATATTTCAGATAGCCAAACGATAATGTTATGCTTTTTTGATTACGGAATATCCAGCCAATTTCACTAAATAACCTTTAGATGAATAATTCTAAGTCACTTTGCATAGTTTATATCTAGTTAAATAGTAGGAAAGTAAGGTTCGTGTATCAACTCAATCAGGCTTAAGACTGAATAACTTTTAGTGTTACTTGTTGAAAGTCAGTCGACAGGAAGCTGTGAATTAGTACTATTGAACAAGGCGAATCTGAGACCATGAGCAAAGTGATGCTTGCCAAGCAACTAGAAATTACGCCAGTCGGTGTTTCAGAAAGAGACTCAATCAGTTAGCTAAACAGGCCATGATTTACCCTCCGTAGAACTGTATTATATACACGGATCTGTCAGTAGTGGGTGACAGTGCTGCCAGTGCTAAGTAACAGGGATTAGACAAGTATATAAGTTACCCACTGATGACTAACTAACGTGCTCAATTCATAACTGGCTTCTAAATTTCACAGCATACTTTCAAACTACACTATGTGACAATGAAAGTAAAGTGCTTAAGAAATCATAGAATACCAAAATTCTGCCAAGTCTTATCGCATTTACGGATTTCAAAAATATTTACTAAGAATCATAAAATCTTCAATAGATTATCTCTTTATTTAAAGATGCTTGTAATAATTAAGAAGAACGCATACAATAAGACAGCAGACTAGGAGGTTATCATACTTCAAAGCTAAGGCTTATCACAAGTACTGACCATGTCCCATAGAAAATCGTAGAAATTTCCTCTTAAAACAATTTATTTAGCACATGAAAGTCATTCATTTGTAACAATACTACCTTCTTTTCATTGAACTTTATACCAAAATAATTTTGTTTGAAATGTGAACAGTTGTACACTGAAAACAATACGCATTCGTTTGAGTTACTTTTTGTAACATGTAGTTTAGTAAGATTCTCTTAAAACGAAAAGATAAAATTTTTTTAGATATTTGAAGCTGTAGGTGGTAGGTTCGAATCCAAGTGGTAGCAACAGTTCACTGGAAAGCAGTCAGTTCACCTGACATGCTAAAAGTGGGATGGAAAGCGCATTGGTAATTCAACTGCTAGCCAATACCTATCACTACTACTAAGATGAAGTTACTGATAATATAGAGGCATCCATACACGAGCCCGAACGTCAGTAGTGACCGGTAAATTCAGTGCTGTTAAATGACAGGAAATTACGAGCAATAGTGAAAACGAGTTTCACCCATTTAAAATGAAAAAATTGTATTGTGAAGTGCATAATTGGAAACCAATAGAGAGAACTGATAATCATTCCTACAGTTTTACCATTAATTTTTTGATAAAGGAATTTAATTAGCCAAAATAAACAAAACTAATCACTCATGGTGTAGACAATAACAGAATACTCTCCTTTCTGCTTCCTGTTTACTACTCTGTAATGCTTGGACTAAAGGATAAATCATGTTTCAGTAGAACGCATACAACATACTGCTGTATGGAACTAACTTGTTATGATTTGTTGGTATCCTAAGGACATAATTACCAGAATATATTTCTGTGAAGTTGAGAAATCATGGAATTGCAGCCCTCGACATTTCACAGAAAAATTAGATTATTTTATGAATGTAGACAGGAAAAAAGACTATGGTTGTCCTTATTGCTGAATCTTCATTAGTTTTTGATAGTGTTGTCTTCTCTAAGCTGAATGGTTTAGTCGTGAAGCTTGCATTGTCATTCTAGACAACAGCATCAGCAGGAAATTAAGAAACAAGTAACCTATAGAGTTTTTATCACAAGTGGTTTAGTAGCTGGTGATTGTTTGTTTCTCCCAAAGTCTTGTCATCGTCTCCGTATTTATTTCGGTTGGTTGTCTTACTGACGTGAACTTTGAGGTTCTTGTTTCTTATTGGCTGGAAGATCGGGTCAATGTCAATATGTCTGCTGATTGGTGAATGTCATCAGGACAAGTTACTAAGCCTTTTTGTGGAGAAAACCCTATAGATCACTTGTTTCTGTAGTTTGTACTGATGATATTGTCTAGAATGACAACGAAAACTTCGCGGTTAAATTATCCAGCTCAGAGAACATCGCCATCAAAATTATCCTCCTGAGTTACAGATATTCTCCTCAAAATTCACCTCAAAATCTTCATTAGATTTATTTAAGAGCATGATGATCAGGGTTAAAACCAAGAGGATAAAGACTTTTGACACAGAATTGCAGGAGTACTGTCAACAAACAGAAAAGCCACTTTAAAACTACTATAGTCAATTTTT